CCAATCCGAGTGCCTATGTATTGCGTAAGACCGCGCCGCTTTTCCGAGGATCTGAGCAGAACTTCGTCTTCGGCGCCTGGGATGACAGCGTCGTTTGGGATGTGCCGAAAAGCACTGGGATTGGGTTTAGGGTTTAGGGTTTAGGGTTTAGGGTTTAGGGTTTAGGGTTTAGGGTTTAGGGTTTAGGGTTGGGTTGAGAAGTGCAGTTCAAGACTGGGTCAGGCGAACTTGCAACACTGCTGATTTGGGAGTTCGTGGGCTCGGGGTGCTATGGCTGGGGGCTCTCATGCTCTCTGAAGCTTTGGCAGAAGGGTTCAGGGCTTAGGATGCAGCTCTTGCCGTAAGCTGCCGTATTCGCTGTTCTGTCCCACGGCCTCGTGCCCCGGCCCCAGGTCCTCATAATCACCCCAACCCACATGGATGTTTCCGAAAACTAGGGTACCTTCTTTTGGGTCCTTATAATAAGGATCCTACTATTTAGGGTCCTATATTAGGGTCCCCTATTTTCGGAAACTGCCACATAACTTGTAAGGGGCCTGGTGTTGGCTGTAGTAAGTAGTACTTACTTCAATCACAGGGAGAGCGTATGTCACAAGGCAGCCAGAAAAGAAAGCCTCCTGAGCCAACGCATCAGTTCGCAAGGCAACACGAACGTGAGCGCAGATTGCCAATTTCAACCGGAGGAGGCCAGTGGATGTTCTTAATAAAGGTTCCCTTTCAGATAGGACCCTTTTTGCCGCGGGCTTTGGCCTACTAGCCGAAGCTTGAGCCCTAGACCCTGAATGAAGCCAGTCGCTAAGCCCCAAGGCCTGTAACCGCCGGCTTAGGTAAGTTTCGCCGGCTTGGGGGGCCCGGCGGGGTCAAGTCCAGAATCACCCCACTCAACTCTGTAGTATGTAATGAGGTGTTCGTGGTTTTGTCAGGCCAGCTGCATAGAAAAAACACGAAAACAGGACCAACAGCCTTATCTCAAGACTAACCTCACCTTAACTGCAAAAGGCATAAGATAGCAGAATCCCTTGAAGCGACGACGCGTAGCCCGAAGCTCCGGGCTCCAAGGCCCGAGGCCATAAGACTCTAAAGCTGGAAGCCCGAAACATCAAAGCTCGATGTAGGTCGCAAGCGCTCTAAGCCCTAAAACCCATAAACAAAAAACAACAGAACGGTTTAGATACTATCTCCCATTAAACACAAAAGATGTGATCTCAGGGCATATTAAACAACATATAAACAGAACGGCTTAGGTACGATCTCGCGGCAAGAGCCGTACACATCTCAGCGATACTAGGAGCCCCTATTTAAGCCCTCCACCCTCGCAAGCTCCCGGCCCGCGCCCCAACACATATGAAGACAGACATTGCAAAGAGAGAACAGTTAGCTAACCCTACATTCTACATTCAGACTGACGGCAGAAAGAGTAGTACTATATAGTCATACAGTTGAAACATTTCAAAAAGTAACCATTACTGCCATCAGCAGTCAACAATAGAAAAGGCAGCAATCAGCATGCGCTCACACACCATCTCTCTCTCTCCTTGCTCTCTCCCTCTCTCTCTTTCTGACTAGCTCGCTCTCGCTCTACAGAACGCTAAAGTCACTGCCTACGGTTTATGCTAGACAATGCACCGACACCCTTTTGAAGTGTTCAGCACCTATCCTAAACCGCAATCCACAGTAGAAGAACCGCTTTTAAACTCAAAGCCACCCCCGAAACCCTCCTAACAAAACACCAGCCCGTCGTTAACAGAAAGCCCCCGCACAATAAATCATATTAGAACCAAGCCCCAAACCCTTAACATCCAACCCTAAACCCTAACCCCTAAACCCCATACCCCCCTAACCTAAACCACTAAACCCGTAAAGCCTGAGGCCTGAACCCTAAGCAGGTGCATCTATCTCAGCAGATGCAAGCGCTCTGGGCCGACTTTGCAAAAGCGGCGCCCTCCAGCCTCTGGCCACCGACAGGAGGCTCTCTGGGATCGTACCGACTGAAGAGTTTCACAGGGTTGGCGGTTTAGGGCTTTTTTAGGGTTTTGTAGGGGTTTTGACCTTTGGGTTCCGGATCGAGTGTTTGTTGCGGTTTGAGAGACTGTTTGCACGATTTTGGTGGTTCTGAGAGGCCACTAATTAAATTCTTGCCTCCGCCCTGAAGACGTCTGGGAACCCGACGCAGGTCCGAGACATGTCGTGCTGGACCTGGATGTTGGGCCAAGGTGCGAGAGACGATTTTGGGGTTTGTCTGTAGAAGATGGACTGCAAGAAGAGTGTGGGGTGTAAGGTTTAGAATGTAGTACTTTACTTACCAAGTCCCCTGGGCCTCCAAGCAACGGCGACGAACTCAAGGCGTTTGGGTTCAGGGCAGATCGCTGGGGGCTGCATGCTGCAGACTTAGGGGCTGTGGGCTGTGCGAGTACTCAGAAGGGGCCAGTTTTCGAAGTCGGATGTGTGCGATAGACTGATGATCGCCCAAATACTTAAGGGGCAGCGAATTGGAGATGTGGAGTTGTGTCTTGCTCGGGCAGGTGGGGTTGTCAGGTGTTGCAGGGTTTGAGTACGTAAATAAGAATGTAGGTGTGCATATATATATATATATATATATGATGGGACCCTGTTCGCAAGTAGCCCATGGTAGTGAAAGGTACGCAAGGCACCCGCCAGCAGGGAGATCTAGAGACGTGAACAATCAGGAATAGTATGCATTCATTTTAGAATATGTGTATATATATATATATACATGTATATATGTATGTATATAGAAAATATGTTACAATTAAATCCGCTTCAAAACTCGCTTAGGCAATTAAGGCCCCCCGAGTAACAGGTTTGCGCAGATTTCCAACTTTGGCTCGACGGAGAGTTTCCTTGGCAGAAGGAGTGCTAATTCGTTTGAGTTTGGGTTTAGGGGCCCAGGGAAAGAGTGAAGAGGTTGCAGCTTAAGCGATCAACGAGCAAAGAGTAGCACTTTAGGTTTAAGGGGTACGGCTTTCTGCTTCGATGGGCTTTGGGGGCTGCTTACCAGGGCCTTGGGCTGGGTTTCAGATGTTCAGCTCATGTTAAGAGGTTTGAGTAATTGCGTCGGTGTTTTAGAGCATGAAGACTCCTTAGAGTTGCAATTACAGCTGTGCTGTCTATTCGACTGGGGTATCGGAGGTTGTTGAGGGATTTGCAAGGATGAAGGCACTCCTGTTTCTGCTCCTGTAACTAGCACCACGACAACGACGACTAATTTGCTTGTGGCTGATGCTACTACTGGAAACGAGTATCTCGATGGTTCGAGTTCGAAAGCCATTGTCATTGTCGCCCAAGACTGTCGAGCTAGAGGCCTGGGGCTCTGCTATGCCGAGGCTTGCAACGTGGCGGAACGGTCAACTGCGACTTCTGGGACACAGTTACTGAGGGATACGGGCTGCTGTGAGCCGGAGTTGGCGACACACGGGGCCTAACAGCTGAGGCTCAGAGAGAGTGCTCTAGACTTCTTAACTACCTATAGTCTCCATTGTAGTTCCTTCTTTTGGTTTAACCAATTATATATTAGGGATCCTATAAAGTAACCCAAAAAAAGGAACTACAATGGAGACTATAGGTAGTTTTCAAGCCCAAACCCCGAATCCCACGTACAGAGCTCAACCCGTGGCTGCTTGGGTCCACAGGGGTCGGGTTCCTCGTAACAGGTTGATAGTCGAGATGCGGCTTGAAGTCACTCCCAGCTGTTCAGCCCGGTGACTCCTTCCCTTATACCCGCCCGCACCATCGCCATCGGATTTTCGACATCGCCACCGCCGGCAATATCGAAACAGAGCATCTCCGCCGCGCCATCACATCACCGAACAGCTGCAAGAGCAAGCACAAGCACAAGCGCAGTCATAACCGCCACCATCGTCACAGCAGCGCCGCCGCTTCCGCCAGCAAAACAGCCACATTCACTTCAATTCCCAGCACGTTCCCAAAGCTAGACTTTGGGTTTTGGTCGGTACTCCAACAGCCCCAAACAATTCCGCGGCTCTTGAAAAGTCCTGCCATTGTGCGTCAGCCAGACTCCTTGATTCTGACTGCCTCTGCATGCATGGACGGGGGAAAAGCAGACGGACCTATGCGTGTGCACCGTCATCCCGAGCCCAAACCTCCCCCAAAGGCTCGCTGCTCCTAAACCTTATTACTAATGAATTACCCATAGGCCCCATAGTAGTTCCTTTTTGGGGTTCATATCTAGAATCCTTTAAGGTAATCCCAAGAAGGAACTACTATGGGGCCTATGGGTAGTGTTTTAAGGGTTCAGAGTTTGGCTGTGAACTTACAGCAGCCCTGGAAGCACTAAGCCCTAAAACCTGAGAGCCCCCAAACCCTTCGGGTTTAGGGTTTAGGGTTTCATGCTCTAACGCCAAGGCCTTCATCCTCAGACCTGTTGCCCTTCATGCTCCAGCCTTCAACCCCGAATTTCCCCAGGAAATACCCGTTCGCCCTTCTTCTATGGGCTCCATTATTATGACGTTTAGAAAGTTTAGGCTTTATTGTCTCTTGTTTGGGTTTCAGGAAGTTTTGGGTTTAGGGATGCTGTTGCAGAAACTGCCTCTTCGGGTTCAGGGAAAAACACGCACTCCGCATGCTAGCAGGCCTGCAAACTGGTTCAGGCTCTTCCTGGACCCTAACAAACCCATCTTTTTCGGGGTCCCTCATGTGATTTCCTGATAGTAATGTCCTAAACAGCCTAGGCTATGGGGTTAAGGTCTGAGTGCAACCAGGAAGCAGCGCAACCTTCAACCCCCCAAAACTGTGAATTCCCTTCGACCTGAGCCAGAGCACGTTCTTCCGGTGTGCATGGAGGAATGTGAGGAAGGTCCCGAGGATGAGGATTAGCTTCGGGGTCTTCTGAATTTTAAGCGAGATCGACTCTAAAGCCAAGCCTGTAACATTGCATGGGCTCGAAACCCAAAGCAAAGAACAGCCCAAAGCCTCCCTAAACCCTAAACCCTAAACTCTAGAAGTCTGGAGACTGGGCTGAGGCGCTCATCGTGCCTGCGGAGCTCAGCTCATCCACATGTCCGCCTTGACCTCGGAAACCCGGGGGTTGCTCAGGGGTCTGTTTAGGGTTTAGGGTCGGCTGATGAAGTATGCCGTCGGTGGTTGGTAACGCTGCTGCCGATGCTGCTGGTGATCGCGATGATGAAGACAGTGATAATGGTGGCCATAGTAGTTCGGGTGACATCATCGACGACCATGTTCATCTAGAATCTAGCAATGAGGATGATGGCAGTGGTGAGTTCACTGACACTGCCGGCATTGATGTTCCACATAGCTTTCACTGGCGAAGGTAAAAGCCATCGTCGTCGTGGTCGGCTGTGGTCGTGTGAGAGGTCTTCTTGTTATTGCACGTCGCTTTCACACTGCTATTAATTTCCTCTTTGCAGTCCATGATGACGAGCCTTCCAGCACACTGCTTGATCGATTTGAGATGTTTGTGCATGCTGCCCCGACTTCTCACGGCAAATCCTCAGCTGCTAAGGCTTTAGACTTTAGGGCTTAGGTGGTTGAGGGTTTCGGCGGCAGGGTGCTCCCCAAACCCGGTGACGAGTCGTTTCCCAGGCATCCTCGGATCCGTGGGGACCCAGCCACTAGTGACTCGGCCAGAGGAGCCATATCAGAGATCCCTTCTGCATCATAACATAACTATAACATATATGAGTGGTTGTCAAAATTAGGGTCCCTTATTGGGCCCTTATTATAACACGGCACCTGATATTTAGGGTACCCAAAAAGGGGCCATAACTTTGACAACTTGTTAAAGGAGCTTTTCCATTCTCGCTAGAGGGCTTGGCTCCGTTCAGAAACTCCGGGAATTGAGCTGTGAGGCGGGGAGCGGATTCCTTCATGTTGGGTTAAGAGGTCCAAAGCCTAAGCCAGTGCTCTACACCCTAAGCACCAAGCCCTGCAGAACCCTAACCCCTAAACCCTTCAGCCCTAAACCCTAAACCTCCAAACCCTAAACCCCCAGACCCTAAACCCTGAACCCTAAATCCGCGACGTCTAGGTTTCACGGTTTATGGGTTCTTGAGTTTAGGATTCTGGCTGTGCGGCGCGAGGATCTGGGGCTGGCCTTGTCTTCTCGAAAAAGAGGCCTACATAGTTGATGCGACTATTTCTTGGGGTCTCGTTCTTTTGTTTTATAAGGTTCAGGCGGTTTAGGGCTTCATTCGATACCCTATTCATATTGTTTAGGCTCCTATGGTAGGATGCTTTCGCTGAGGCTGCTCGTGGCGATTTGGCTTCCTCCAGAAAGAGAGCAAGTACGAATGTCGCCCTCTGCCTTACTTGCGCGGGTTCTCCTTCGTTTCGCTTTCTTATACAAAAGGAACCCAACGGTCCCTTCCTGCACTGAAAACACAGCTTTGGTTGGGGGCTCAAGGGCAGCTTGCGATGCCCGGTCAACCGGCCTCCTGACGCAGATGCGGTACGATGTAAGTAATATTGGGCCTTAATCGTAGGGTTTTGGGCCTTTTATAGTACAAGTATGATAAGGAACCCGCAAAATAGTGCTGGTAGTTTTATATAGGACCTATAATACCTCAGCAGAGCAAAGCCTGTCTTAAGCTTGTCCCTGGAGCTGCTTTGTATACGCTTCTTGGCAGCCGCGGATGTGCAGGGCGAAGCAGTAAGGAGGTACTGCCATGTTGAGAGACGGAGGAAAGCCGACTGAACCTCCCGAAGCATCCCGAAACCCAAAGCAAGGCTGAAACACAGCCCTCGACTCCTCCACCAAAGTGGTGCTAAAACGCCATGCCGAAATATTGAAGACCCCTATACACCTTAAGCTTATCAGCTTTGTACAACCCCGAACATCTCCATCACCTTCCCAACCGCCGCGATCTGCTCAGAAGACGGGACGTTGTGTGACAACGACTGCTGCTCGAGCAGAGGAGGCACAACCACCCCAAACCCTACACCCCTAAACCGAAAAAAACCAACCCTAAACCCCTAAGCCCTACCCAGAAAAGGTTGTTACTGGAGCTTTTCACTTGGAGGGTCATGGGACTTGGTATCCGAGGCATAAAAACCAGGTAGTTGCACCTTAGGTATTTCCAACCTCCAAGCTAAGCTAGGATGCCTTTGTAGTCCTAGGTTCCTTATAAAGTTACCCAATACCAAAAAGAGAGGCCTTTTTATTCTTAGGTTACTGGGTATCCTAGTAAGGGACTCCCCCTGATCCTCCAAGGAACAGTTCCAGATGGGTTGCTGGGGTTTGGGTGCTGAAGTCCCTAGGACTCTTTTACGGTTTTCAGGGGCTTAGCAAACGGGGGGATAGAGCTCTTACCCAAAGTCCTGAGATGTTGGAGAGCTTTTGAAAAGACTCCGTCTTCTCAAGGGTTTAGGGTGAGACCGCGAAAGTTCTGTTTCTGGGAGGCCTCTACCGGTGCCCCTACAATCTGCCGATGATGTGCGAGACTGCCGCTCGCCCAGACTCTCCGTTGATACGGCCCGTACGGGTTTAGGGTTGAGTGTGTTTTTTGTTCTCGGGTTTGGGGTTTTGAACTGATTCGGCTGTTACGGTTGAGGGTTTAGTTTGGTTTTTGTTTCTGGGAGATTTCACGTCGTCGTCGTCCTGTTTTCGGTGCTGTCCGACGTCGGGTTTGCTTTGGCTCGCCGGCGAGATTGCAGTCGAAGGCTTTTGATTCACATTCCTCCGATCCAGTCCGCAGATCAGCCAGAACCTCGGACATAATCCCATCCCTAACCGCCCATGTCCGTAGATATGCACACACTAAGGTAAACATTTTGAACGTATCTACGTGGCAACATTTTAGAAACACGTGATGCAAGCAGACTATCTGTTCCTGTCTCGTCTACCATTACAACGACCGTCTCAACGAAGCCAAGAAGTCTTCCTTGCAGTCAGTGCAAACTCCGACGGGGTTTTCTTAGGCCACTTCCGGCGCATACACCTGTGCAACCGATTGTGCGGCCACCGGTGGCCCCCGGCTGTGTCAGGTGGGGCGGGGCGGGGTGGCGGGCCCATGGTGTACTGCATGCAGCATTGCAGGCTTTTAAGGGAGGCTTGCTTGCTTTGATGCACTGCGGGTCTTAGGGTTTGATTAAAGTAAACCTCACCTCAAAGATCATACGTTTTTCAGGCCTTGCAACAGGGAATCATGTTAAGAAGCCGCGATGAGGAAGGTTTCTTAGGGTCCAAGTAAACCCTATGCCCTACACCCCAAAACTCCATGCTGTGTTAAACCACTCGATTTGAAGGCTATCTCAGTCGGCAGTGCGGGAGTGCAAGAAATTATGATTCCCGAAGGGTCCATTTAGTCATATAGCATATACTTGGGCCCGCAAAGCACATAAACCGGGACTACATGACGGCCAAGGTATATACTAGGAGTACATGCACCCTGAGGGATTAATTACTGTAGGGGTGACGCAATTCGCGGGGTTCAGGATTGATGTGGGGCTTAGGGTTTATGTAGGTTCAACCTGCAGCCTCGAATCTCAGGTATTCTGCAGTTGATTGAAGTATGCCAGGGTTAAGCTGCGAAGTATTGGAATTCCAGAAATCAGAGACGTCACGGGTCGACGCTCCACTACATTCCCTGCAGTGACCTACATGGTCACCATAGTCAGCTGTCAAAGTATGTCCAAGAGTCGCCATCTGCCACATGTGCTACCGTTATGGACGGAGGGCTGCAATGGTGTTGGGGCCGACAAGCACAAACATTGCAAATCTGGAGCAGCTGAACAGTGATGATGAGACTTGGTATCATGCTGATATTAGGGTTTAACGATTATTGTTCTGATTTTTCAAGCTCCGGGTCTTGAAGGAGCCCAGCTTTGCTCAAAATCCCGGGCTCTGATTTCATGGCACTTCGGGCTGTCAATGTTGAGGGTTAGGGGCTTAGGGCTAGGGCAATATTGTCACGAGGACCTTGGAGTGTGGGAGTCCCTTTATGCAGATCAGCAGTATGAGTCCATACCCGACTACTGCAACTACCGCTTAGCCGGCAAGGAGGATAAGCCAAACCCACTCACTAAGACCGACACCCTTGAACCCCAAACTCTATTTTGATATAGCTTTACGACCGAAACTCCTGGACCCCAAACGGCAGGCGACAGATTCCAGTGCGGCGACCTGCTTCGCTTCAGGACAAGGGCACGGATACACAACATGTAGGTGCCTGAATTACCCTTTACCCCCCCGATCCATCTACATAAATATCCTGTAAGAAGCCCAGAACCCACCAGGAGTGAATGGAAAGTCGTACACTACGACAATGACGGTCATGGATGCGACAAGTGCCGAGGACAAAGGGCCTGTGACCGCGGGAGGGGTTATGTGTAGTTAGTTCAGGTATCGGTATGCAGATAGGGCAAAGACGACCGATGTCAGAAGTCATGTGGCCGTCTCTTCTATGGAATTGGCCTGCATGTAAGCCTGAATATGAGGTTTGAGTATGTACCCGACCATCTGTTGTCCAGAGAAGAGGAACTCACATGCACACGGCCAGTACTTGCGGTGGCGGCTGTAACACTTCTCCACCCTCGCAGCCGTTGGTGAGCCAGGTTCGTCCTAAACCCTAAGCTAGATCTGGTGTGTTTCTCTTCAGACACAAAACCATCTCGGGCTGCACGGGAGCCCCACGGAAGCTCGACGGGATCATCATGAAGAAGAACGGTGAATGAAATACATTCATCTGACTTGTCAGCCTCGAATCCTCGAAACCGGAATCCCAAATTTCCCGATGCCTAACTCAAGTCCGTCGTGAACGCTAAGCCCCACCACCCAGGCCAAAAGGCCGTCCCGCTAAACTCTGACACCTTTAATTTTATTCAGGGGCCTCAATGATTGGAATAGGGTTATGAGGGCTCCTTATTATAGTTATAACATACCCCAAACCCTATTCTAACTATTGAGGCCCCTACATTAAGCCCCAAATGCTCGAGCCTCTTTTGACCAGGACTGCCAGAACCACTGCAAACGGATGGGAGGCCGAACTGGCCACAGACGGAGAGATTGCTTTTGCTTCCCTGAACCAAGAGCCCCAGCAAAAGAGAAGAGTACATTCTCAATGCAGCAGGGGCGGCTCCGCATGAACTACGTACCTCCAACCTCATTCCAGCCTTACCTAGCCGCCGGCCCGGTAAAGCGGAGCATTTGTGGGAGGCTGTGCTTACTTCTCATACTACCCCACGTTGACGACCTCGTGACCAAGCTGCAGCTGGTGATTCGAATCCGCACGCTGGGCTAATCCCGGACAGGGAGACACCAAGCCCCGAAGCCCAATATTCCCCAGAATACCCCCACAGCTGAGCGCTTTAGTTTCTGCAGTAAAGTTTATACCCGAACGCCCCTGAGCCGCAAGCCCTTGGGCCCAAAGGCCCCGAAACCATGAGATGGATGATGTTGGTTGGAGCTTGCTTATGGTAAAGGTGCGTAAGGGTATCGTCGTATATGCACAGGCGCAGATATACATGAGTGCATACATTCGTGTGTACATATTTGTATGTATGTATGCTTGCACACACAGGTGCGTGTGTGTGTGTGTGTGCATGCAGGTACATCTGTGTATGTTTGTACATGTACCTGTATATGTACGTACACATGTACACACACACACACACACACTCCCCTGTACGTATACATGTACATATGGGTTATGTATGCATGGATGTATGCGTGAATCAACACGCAACTCGACTGTTGCTGCAGCTTGGGGGGCATTTTCAGGAATTGCAAGCTGCACGACTCCATGGCGGTCCAGACCACGGAAGCAGGCGGGTGTGGTACAGAAAGCTTTCCATCTCAAAGACTTGCATCCTGACTCTAAGGCCTCACTAATGGGCTGATAAGCCCCCATTGACCCGATCTGTTCCGCGAGGTCCCATGAACTTAGCGACCGTTAACCCTCTTGGACCATGCGCAACGCTGGATGAGCGATAGTCGCAGCAAGAAGAATCCAGCAGTAGAAGTTCCACGAACCAGAACATACTTCATGAAAGGTCTGTGAATGCTGCTACTGTTGTGAATTCCTGACCCGCACATTGTAGGAGTCGTTCACCTCTGGAGCGCAACCCTCTGAGGAAGGGCCCATGTTATACTTTTTGGATGCTGCCGCTCTCGAGCATTACTAATCATGGGCCATGTGGGAGTTTCCAAAACAGGGGACCTTAACATAGTACCCTAAACAGTCGGATGCTTATTATAAGGACCGCCAACAAGGTGCCCCTAATTTTCGGAAGCTCCCATGTACTGAGTCGGAAGATTGAATTACTCGTAGTGCCAACTAAAGACAAGCATCCAAAGACCCTTAACCTCAATATTACAAGTACCAACTTTGTCAAAGTTGATGGCCGCAGGCACCACCTCGGGTCCAGCCACATGCCTGGCCTCCGTCGCCACCGCCCCCTGCTCAAGTATCAACTGAGTTAGTGAACAAGACAGCCCAAGCCATTGCTGAGGGTACCGAAGGATCATCTTCTTCCAGTCAGCTAGGCCGTAAACCCTAAACCCCGAACGCCCTGAGAGCCTGTGCGAGGCACGCTCCCCAACTCAGCAGCCTCCCAGATCCATCGGGAAGTCCTGTGGGCATGTTGAGGGGTTGTTGTTGTGCACAAGGTTCAGGACTTTTGGGGTTCAGGGTGTAGGACTTATTATAGAACCGGACCTCTATAAACGCAACAAAGACTTCCAAAACTCGGGCCTGCTCAGGTCAACAACGTGAACCCAGACCAGATCGGCTTCTTCCGTGTGCGGCTTGACTGGACGTAACACATGTTAGGTTGTAAGGCTTTGGGTTTAGGCTTGAGGGTTTAGGATTTTGGAGGGTTTTTAGAGTTTAGGCGTGGGGCTCAGGATTTAGGGTTTAGGCTGTAGGGCTTCTTTTGTAACTAATGGGGTTGAGGGTACTGTTTTTGATTGGGGTTTAGGATGTACGCTCCTGGGATTTAGGGTTCAGGATGGGCTCCCTGAGCCCCAAGCATCCCCACCTTACTTGGAGGCCCAGGGGACTTCGTAAGTAGGTTAGAAGTAGGGTTATATTAAAAGCTTTTCTAGGGGTAACTCCATTTAGGGTACTTATAACCCCACTTACTAAGTCCCCCATGCCTCTAAGTAAATCCTGTGAAGCCCTTGCCGCAAGGTATTACCTAAACCCTAAACTCTAAGCCCCTAAACCCTAAACCCTAACCCTACATCCCTAAACCCCTAAACCCCTAAACCCCGAAACCCTAAACCTCTAAACCCTAAACCCTAAACCCTAAACCCCTACCCCTGCAAGGTATTACCAGTGTTCCGACGCGATGGGCAGCTCTGTCGGAGCGTTGAGGACGGTCGAGGTGCTCTGCCCTGAGAGCAAAAATAAGGGCTTAGGGTTTAGAGTTTAGGGTTTAGGGTTTAGAGTTTAGGGTTTAGGGTTTAAGTCTCAGAAAAATACCTATAGTCTCCATTGTAGTTCCTTTTTTGGGTTACCTTATAGGATCCCTAATATATAATTGGTTAAACCAAGAAAAGGAACTACAATGGAGAGTATAGGTAGGTCGTCAGAGGTCCAAATTATTTGCACCCGAGGTGCGAGGTTTGAGGTCTCGGCCTTTCAGGGACCAGGATTGAGGTTGCGCCCTCTCTACATGGGTTCCTGCAGCTCGAGTTGTGTTCATGGCTTCTTTGCTCCACGGCTTCGGTGCTTCACAAAAGGTTAGGGTGTAAGACCCATCAGGCTTGCAATTGTATTCGGCCTTGTCTAGTTTGCGGAGGTGCAACAATATTAATAGACCTGCGGGGCTGGAACATTATGAAGATCACAACCGTTGACCATAATCATGATGATCAGAATGAAGAGCTGACACAAGCATAAGATGAAGCCCCCACTATATGAGGAATGCCGAGGAGCGAATGCAAACAATCATAAGGAGGAAAAGCGCAACAGTTATCAGGGTCTCTTTGCATAAACCCTACTCCCGAAAGCCGCTACATACACCGACCAAACAAACTCCCTCAACCCTGCAGGCCACCACAAACCCTGAACCCTAAACCCTAAGCCCCAAAGCTCTAAACTCTAAACCCTAAACTCAAGCCCTCGCTTTGAATGTCCTTGCAGCTTCCAGCGCATGCCCTGAACAACATGACCAGCTCGAGAGCACACAGGACCCCTGGAACCTGAAATCCGAAATTTGACCCAACGGGGGCGACCCTAAACCCCATATGGGTAGTTCTCTAAATTAGGGTTCCTTTTAAGGTCCTTTTATCAGGGTGCCGCACTTTATTCGAGATTTAAAACGGGACCCTAAACCTTTAAACCCTAAATTCCTGCATCCACAACATGGGAGGTTCACAGTGGACACGAACTTCCGCCCCCGAAGAGTAGGATCCTGTTTATCCGCAAAAGAGCAGCCTTGGTTCTAGGAAGCCCGAGGAGAAGGCCCCGCTGTAAAGCCCTTACCAAAAACCTTTTGAACTCCTTATATAGAGAGAGTTTAGGGTTTGGGGTTTATGGTATAGGGTTTACGGAACCTTGATGAAAATCCCTAACTCGTTGAAGCCGCGCCCAACGCGCGCACACACACACAGACAAACACAGATGTCAGGGTCGTTGGGCGAAAACCACCGTTGTGTGAGCCAGGTTGGCTGCGAGGGCCCGAACCCAACCGGAATCTCGGCTTCCGTTGTGTTGGGCCTGGTACTATAGGGCCTCTGTACTATTTTGGGAGGGTTCCTTAAAGGGGCTTAAAAGGGATACTATATAGGGGTACTATGATATGGGGGGCCGAAACAGTTTCAAATACTGTTCCTGTGGGCGCCTTATTATAACTATAGTATAAAATACCCCCAAACCTATTCTAATTACTAAGGCCTCTGCATTATAGAAGCCTGCATAATTAGTAGTCAGTAGCATTCCTGACTATGTATTCTATACACTAAAGTCCTCTTCTGATAACTTAATCTATAATGCTCGGGTTACTTACAGGATCGAGGGACGTAGTAGCTAGCGACAGAAACCAGGTATGTCTACTGAGTCTACTTGTGTATAATGCAGGTACTTATGCGCTTACTTTTTAAGTTCCCTGATCCCTCACGTGGGTGGTTGTCAAAATTATGGTCCCTTCTTGGATCCTTATTATAATACGGCACCTTATATTTAGGGTACCCAAAAAGGGACCCTAAGTTTGACAACTACCCACGTAGGTTCCCAGGGTTCCACTTAAAAGCTCCTCGTCGGGCGAAGGTTTTCTGAAGCAAGCTCTCAGTGCTTTGTGCAGCTTCGAGTTGAGGACCTGGATTTCCTCGTAGTACTCCAATCAGGCGTGTATGTGTATATATGTATATAATATAATAAACGGCTGTATTATTTTATGCTATATTGTAGTGATCATCTTATCTTGCATTATACATTACATGCTATTTATATACATATCTTTGCAAGCTTTCCAGTTTCTCTGCAGTGCTGTACTTGTATTAAGTACTCTGAAAGTTAAATCTCTGTTACTATATCTCTGTCTTTTTGCTATCTGGATATCGAATCCCAAATCTCCAAAAATGAGATACCCAACCCCTGCCCCAAAACTAAAACTTTGCTCTTAGAAGCTTTGCAGGCGCCCCTTAGAAGCTCAAGTCTGCACCCTAACCCATAAAGCCCTAAACCCTATTCCCTAAAACTCAAAACCCTGATCCCTATAATCCCTAAACTCTAAAACTTAATCTGCATGCGCGGCTCACCCCTTCGGAGTCTACCCTATGGTCCCTCGTTTATGCGGTGTGCTTACGAAACCTTGTTGCCAATTCTGCTGAGTGTGCCTTCCGAGAGTAAGAGTACGGGCGCCGGACACTTGCCTGAATACCTTGACGAGGGCGTTCCTGCGCCTTCTTCCACAAACATAACAGGGCAAAGTACATGACGATTTCTTCAGGCTTCACAATTCGAGCATGCAGTTTGCCATCATGTTTCGGCGTCTTGAAATTTGTCAATTCTGGGTTTCGGCGGCTGGCTGCTGGCCGTGGTGGGTGTGGACTTCGGAGGAGCGAGGGTTAGCATGTGCATTTGTGCCACCGCGGCGCGTCTGATCTTAGGCATCTACGGTGGCAACGTGGTGACCTGTGAAGTGGTTCAGAGTGGCCCTGCCGAAACGGAGGCGGGTCAGTGCCTTCCTAACAGGAGCCTTGAAGGGGCTAAGGGTTGGGGTCCTACATGTTGTCGAAGCATCAATTAAACAAGTCGTCCTCCTGAAACGATGTTTATCAGGCCAAGATATTGATTTGGACTTTCACGGTCGTCTAGATGGTACTATGCTTTCCTGAACGAGGGAGAAGAGTCGGATGTGATAAAGAGACGCCACTCTACTTACTTCCGACAGACACCGGCATCCCGACCTGCTGAATCCTACTTCCTGCAGCCTCAACCCTGCAAGCAGCCTGAAGATCTGTTCAATGAGGCTGTTCTACGGCTCAGAGTTTGTGCATAAGACATGCCCCCGAGAGACAGATGCCAGTCCAGACCGCAGGAGCATGGATATGTGTACCAGTCTCCCTTATGGTTCCTATATACTTATACGCTACTCTACCACACAAGTGCTGTTCATTAACGTCATTATCACATGTCCCAGCATTTGTACTTTGGTTCTTGGCTCTAGCCCCTTTCCCTGCGCTGATGATTAAGGCTAAACCCTAAACTCTTCTTTCGCCAGGACTACCTGGCTTGCTTGAAGATCTGCACAGCGGACACAGTATGCCGGGTCCCGAGGGATGGTTATTCAATTTGGGGTTTGAGGTTAGGCTCCTGGATTTGTTGGGGAAGCAGTGTGTAGGGGTTTACTTAAAGGATCATGGGACTTAGTAACTAGGGCTATAAATTAAGGTAACTATACTTATAATTAGATATAACCCCACTTAGGGTACTTATAACGATACTTACTAAGTCCCATGATCCTCCAAGTAGGATTTAGGGTTTATAGGGAATCAGTTTCCGGCTCTAAGTTGCCGTGGTGCTGTTTTCTGATGAGGTCCATGGCGAGACTGCTCAGGAGTTGCTGGTGTTGTTTTTATTTTGGGGTAGAGGCCTCCAGTCTGAACCAGAACCCTCCTTGTACCCTCAAACAGGGGGCCAAGGTCGCAAATAAGGGGCATTTAGGGTCTAATAGAGGGTCTAGGAAGGTAGTGGTTGGGGTTGGGGGGTGGGGGGGGAAGGCCGGGTTCGAGGAGCTTGGTCTAGCAGTCCAACGTAGGGGCCCTAATGGCTGCCTAGGCCACTTTGGTGGTTCCTTACTACCTATAGTCTCCATTGTAGTTCCTTTTTTGGGGTTACTTTATAGGATCCCTAATATATGATTGGTTAAACCAAAAAAAGGAACTACAATGGAGACTATAGGTACTATTTACTATTATAGTATTCTTGGCTCCAAACCCCTATTCTACGTATTAAGGCCCCTAGATTAGCGCCATATACAGGCGGATCGCGCTCTGAGTAAGGACCAGTAGACTTACGAAGTAGAAGCTTCAGGGTACCCAGACCTTCCAAAATCCCTTAATTAAGCAATATACCTTAAATCATATTAGGAACCCTATTATAATTTAAGGTATATCCCTTAATTACGGGATTTTGGAAGGTCTGGGTAGAAGCTTCAGGGTAGGCTGCAAACACCTCAAGTGAGGTGAAACCTACGAGTGGCTGGGTTTCACCGATGCCAGCGGCGGCAACTGCACGCGCTTTGGTGCGATTGATCTTGAGTTTAATGCTGCTAAGGACTTTGTTCAGTATGTTCCTGCTTCATAAGGCTTGGCTGAAGTTATGGTACCCTAGGGCTCCAGTTACCTATATAATGTGGGTGTCGGTTTAATTGACGGGTCCCCCCCCCCCCGACCAAAAAACAAAATTATATTTAATATGGAGCCGGTGATGCCGGACAGGGGTCAGGGGTCTGAGTGGCAGGGAATTGGGAGGTGCCGGGGTTTGGGGGCTGGCTTGGGTGCAGGGTCTGCGGTTCTGCGCGAATGCGCGGTCGGGGGTCGGGGGGGTCTGGGGATCACCAAATGCTGGAAACCAAGCCCCGATCACTCCAAGATTACTACCAAGACTAAAAACCCTTCATTTTGAACACTTTTGCCTCCGTAACCTACACCCCCACACTCCCACCCACAATCGACCACGTCTGAAGCTTGGTGCGGTACAATAATAGTACAGTAGTACAATAGTAGTACAGTAGAAATAATACAATAGTAGTACAATAATAGTGCAGTAGTACAATAGTAATACAACAGTAGTACAGTGGTAGTACAATAGTAGTACAGTAGTAGTACAATAATAGTACAGTAGTACAATAGTAGCACAATAGTAGTACAGTAGTAGTACAATAGTAGTACGATAATAGTACCATAGTACAATAGTAGTACAGTAGTAGTACAGTATCAGTACAATAATAGTGGCAGTAGTAGTACAATAATAGTACAGTAGTACAATAGTAGCACAATAGTAGTACAGAAGTAGTACATTAGTAGTACGATTATAGTACCGTAGTACAATAGTAGTACAGTAGTAGTACAATAATAGTGCAGTAGTACAATACAATAGTATAATAGTACAGTAGTAGTACGATAATAGTACAGTAGTACAATAGTAGTACAGTAATAGTACAGTAATAGTACAATAGTAGTACAGTAGTACACTAGTAGTACAGTAGTACAGCAGTAGTACAGTAGTACAGTAGTAATACAGTAATAGTACAGAAAATAAAGCCAGTGAGCACATTCCCCCAATAAGCAAGCATAAAGCCAGCGCCTGAAACCCTAAACCCTAAACCCTGAACCCTAAACCCTAACGAATCCTAAACTCCTAAACCCTAACAAACCCTAAACCCTAAGCCTTAAACCCTTCCCAAAGGGGGGTCGGTCCAGATTGGACCCAAAATTGAATTTTTTATACAAACTTTAGTACTGGAGAGGCCTTTGTCGAGCAAGGGTCCAATTCCCAATTCGGCGGTTCACCCTAGCAGCCCCCCCCAATAAGCAAGGCATACAGTAGCAGTACAATCGTACAATAGTAGTACAGTAGTAGTACAGTGGTAGTACCGAGTCTCATTCCTGACGCCCCAATAAGCGAAACAATTCTGCAAGAGATTTTCGGGCTTCAGGGCCAGGGTTTTAGGGTTGGGTGGGGGTTTGGGTGGGGGTTTAGGTCGTGGCTGCCTTAAGATTGACCATCAGCAAATAGCACAGCCCCGCCACCAAAAAATCACCCCAGCCAAAAAAAAACGCATTAATTAGTACCCCCAAATTTTTGGTCAGATTCGGAATTAGCCCCCGAGCCACGCATTAAAGAGGCCTATATTCCTAAACCGACCCCCACATTAATAAGTTACTAACCATACAATATACCCTTGTAACCTACTATTCAGGTTACGGGAGCCCTAGGGGTACATCCAGATACAGTATCGTCACATCCGTCGAATTTCGAGGAAGGGGCGGCTTTGATGCGAGATGTTGCCAAGGCTTAGACCCTTAAGACTATGTACCTACATCATATAGAAACTAAACCCAGCAAACCCATACCGAAGGTTCAGGGTGTGTCGGCCTGAGCTCAAACTAAAGTAGTAAGGTTTCTACCCGGGTTGTGGTGGGTGTAGATCAAGCTCCTTAGGAATGTGAGCGCACCTATACACTCTATAGGGCTCCCGTTCGGGTAGCGTTTTGGTACTAAGCATCCTCGAAATTTTGAGTGTCTCTGTCGGAGCTCCACCGTTTGCCGAATCCCCTGTATATCCCGAGCCACGAGACCTGACCCACAAACTTTGAGCCTGAAGGCTCTAACGCGACAAGCTCCAGACGAGCGTCAGCCTCGTAGGCAGAAGCCCTAACGACATATCATAAGTCTGCCTCACACCCTGGACGTCCCAAACCTGGCTAGTGTAGAAGCTAGAGCCACAAAAACCTAAAGCCCTCAACTACCCTAAACATGAAAACCCTAAACCCTAAACCCCTAAACCTGTTAGGTCCGCCATATCTTCCGAGCCCGAAATCGTTCGCTTTGCTTCTGCATCGGCTTATCTCTGGGTTTCGGGGTCTTTGGTTTGGGCGGTGGTTTTCCTGAGGGCGCCAAGCCGCAAAACATGACAGGACCTACTCCTCCTGCGATGGGAAGTATTCGTCCGACCTCAACAACAATCGCTACGCCAAACTGGCATGTTTTAGGGTTTAGGGTTTAGGGACTTGAGGAGGTTACAGGCAGTAACTTGGTACTCGGTTTCAGGATGGTAGTTGTGTAGAGGAGTACTGAAGGTGCGTTAATGGCTTGCCCGAGCTGACACGTCTTTCGGCGACAGTCTTGGAAGTAGCTGTGCTCGAACCATTAGGGCGTATTTTGGTTTTGAGCCCTGAGGGGTTTGTTTTCGCGAACTAGGGCTTCCGGTGTTTTAGTTCCGGGTTCTACTACAGGGTTAGGTCTACCAGAGCAGGACAAGATTCCGCAACCAACAAAAGCCCGTCACTTTTCACCCTCCCACCCACACCAACAGTGCTCGCACATGAGGTTCATGTTAGCCAGGAAAGATGTAAAATTTCTGCTAGACCGCTAAAACCTGAGCCCCTAAACCCCTCAACCCAATGCCTGAAAGCAACCTTGCAGGTTGGCTACTGCCAGCGGATCAATCACTTCCCAAAGTGCCTTTGCTTCGGTTTTGGGCATGTTTTTTATTTCCGCTGTAGGGTTTAGGATTTAAGGGGCGGGCTTAGCAAGGAAGAGTCATACGTACCGGAGGGGCTAGCACAACTGAATCACAACCAGCTAGAAAATCAGTTTCAGTATGTATGTACTGCACAGTTTACTCAGTCCGATTACCCGTGAACACTACACCGTACAGATCCCTTGTAGAACCTGTTAAGAAGCTCTTGTTGAGTTACTAAGTCCCATGATCCTTTGAAGTAGGTTTCTTCCGTCGGAGCATGACGATGCCGTTCTCGGAATTTCTGAAAGTTAACCCAAGAGAATCCTACCTAGGAACCATGCAAACTTTGTAGCCTAGAGCCGGCTCGCTAGTTCTTCGTCATCGCAATTGTTTATCCCCCACAGTCGTTCTACATACAGGCGCATGCACACCGCATAGTACGGTCTACAGGGGAGTAATTTTGCAGTGGGAGCTCGCGCTGCTAGGGGGACAAGCTGCTTAAAGCCAGAGCAAACAAAAAAATATTACCCGACGTAATTCTAGCTGAACTTAGGGGTACTTAGAAACATTTAGCTAAAAAGTTCAGTATAGTGAATTCGAGTGAGACCGAGACTTTCTGCCAGCGCAAGACAGGAGCGAACGAGACAGGGCCCCGCCAAGAAATCGAGGTTTCGGCTGATGTGTACCTAAACCCCCCCAAAGTAGGTAAAATAATGGCCCAATACCTATAAAGGGCTATTGTTCTACATACTTTTGGGGTCCAGGTATTCGCATATACAAAGAGAGCCAGCCACAAAGGATCTTCGTCATTGCGTCTGATCGCACGGCTCCTCGGAAGAAGCAGACAGATCTCCTGTTCGCGAGACTTGCTGCACGCAGGAAATCGGTTTGACACATCCCACTTGGCATTGAGGTGTGGTTGATATGTGGTGCGGATGAATGAAGCTTTCAGATTTGAGGATGCCCTCAATCCTCTGCCTGAATTCCATACTCTTTCGTTATTTAAACCCTAAACCCTCAACCACGAAAACCCCTATAAACCCTAAGCCCTTGTTCGGTGGGCCCTAAACCCTAAACCCCCAAACCCTAAACCCTTTTTCGGTGGGATCTAGGATTGAGGGGTCCTCTTGGGCCGGATGATTACTGCAACGAAGGGCTCGGGCAGGGGTCTTGGCGCTGATGACCATCGCTTTTGTTTAAGGCTTCTTGGTGGGTAGGGTTTAGGGTTGTATAGGGTTATAGGGTTTAGGGGAGTTTCGGAAAACTAGGGACTTTTGCAGAGAACGCTGAATTGAATTGGAGATTTCTTGTTAGAAGCGGTTCTCTGACCCTAAACCCCCAAATTCGTAAGCCCGAACCCTTTCATGGAGCCGCTCCTCTCCTTTTCGAATAACCGCATGCATGATCCGCCCGGTGGAGCTCATACCTTCAAAGCAGGCAGTGAAGTAACATTCGGAAACAAACCCCAAACGCGAGTAGATAAACCACACCCGAATCAACCCCCTCAAACCTCGTTACCAGCCTCTCATCAGCTCCAAGCCCAGGTGAATGTTGGAACACTTATGCTGAGGGGGCGGTCTACTGCACTGATTACGAGGCGCGACAGTTTGTTTGTTTGATTTTTGTCTGGTTCGGTTTTTCTCCCTAAATCCTACAGAAACCGAAACAATCTTTCATTACAAATCGACATTTGTCGTGACTCTCTCTCCCTCTCTCTCCGCAGATGCCGCCCATACAGATTCTCACAGCCTCTGCGAATGCGACTGAATACACTCAGTACCACATAGGCTGCAAACCCTTTGCTCAACCGCAAGATAAAACGCAAGAGCCATCCCAGAAAGGTAACTATGAACCCTACACCCCCGAAACCCTCAGGCCTCCAGGTATGTTGAAGGTCATCGGTAACAGTCTCTCTGCTCTTCAGCGCCTCAAACTGAGTTCACATGCCCGAAGGCCTGAAGGTTGCCCAGGCATTTCTAAGGGCAAGTCCACACCCCGCCCCTCCACCAAAACGATGTCAGATCCTCGACGAAGTGCTGTGCTCACTCTCATGTGCTGGAAGACCGACTAGCCTCGAAACCCCAGCCCTAGATCCTGAGAACCCTCCACCCTCCAACTGACACCCTGAAGCCCAAGTTGCAAAAAGAACCCCTTGCACGAAATGCAAGAATAATCGTCCCTATGCTTCCTGGTACCTTTTTATTTGGGACTAAAACCCTAAGCCTAAACCCTAACTATGACTGTAAGGTCCCTGGAAGCCTAGTTTGTGCCGAGGATCCGTACCCGCCGGATCCGACCACCGTCACCTCCTTCGACGTGAATGTTCCTGGCCAGCCTCGCGGCTCTCACCTCCTGATCCCTCAGGGTTTAGGGGTTACCTATAGTCTCCATTGTAGTTCCATTTTTTGGTTAACAAGTTTTATGGCTCCATCCCTGTAATAGAGATTTTGGTTAACCACAAAAAGGAACTACAATGGAGACTATAGGTAGGGGATTAGGATTTCAGGGTTTAGGGTCTAGGGGGTTAGGGTGTATGGGTTCAGGGTTTAGGTGGTTTTGGGGGGTTTGGGGGTTTAGGGGGTTTGGGTTGAGGGGTTTCGGGTTTGGGTTTCAAGGGTGCAGGGCTTGAAGGTAAAAAAGTCCCTGGGTCTCGGGTCTAAATGGTTTGGGGTTTGGGGTCTTAGAGTTCAGGGCTGGGGTGCAGGGGTAATCGTACTTGGAGGATCATGGGACTTAGTAAGTAGGGTTATAAGTACCCTAAGTGGGGTTATATCTAATTATAAGTATAGTTACCTTAATTATAACCCTAGTTACTAAGTCCCATGATCCTTTAAGTAATCGTAGAGCTTGGATTTCAGGCAGAGTTTGGATAAGTGTCTAGGGATGTTCATTCCGCCAAGCGTCCCAGTAGGCGTCGCATAGACCTCACCAGGCAATAGCTACCATCGCAAGGATGGATCAGCACTGAACCTGTTGAGTTCAGCGAACAGGCTTTGCCCTAGCTCAGCGGCATCCAGCCAGAGCCTTCCAGAACGCCAGTTGCCAGACAAGCCGTGCAATCGTAACACTCCAAAGAACCGAAACTCAATATACACGGGCTCAAGGTCTCAAGTTTATGGATCAGGGTGGTGGGTTTCAGGTGCTAACAGTTGTGACTTATCATATCCCTTTGCATGTGTAGTGATGGGGAGCACATGATAGTTGGGCTGTTCGACACCCCTATCCCGGTTGCAAAAAACGGATGACTTTTGCCCTGACAATACCGCCGAGGCCATCAACGTCTGGCCTACCTCTTACTACTCTTACTACTGACGAATTCTCCGTCTACAAACTCGTGTCTGCCTTGCCGATTCCGAGGTACATGTTCTACTACACCTGCACGGACACCTCGAAGTTCAGGGTTTATGGTGTTGAGGCTTAAGGGTTTTAGGGTCTAGGGTTTAGGGTTTTAGGATTGGGGTATACAGGTTCACGGATGAGGGGTGTGAGGTTCAGGGTTAAGGGTGTAGGGGTCTAAGCAAGGGGTTCAGGGTTTAGGGTGCCGTAGCTTCCTTAACACGAAGGGCAGTGCACGAGCATTGGGGCTATGTGGCATGGCAATCCTATGAGCATGGTTTGATGAGATCCCTGGTTCAGGGTCTTCAAAGTATCCACGGCTTAGTTTGTTCAAGCATTTTCGATATTGCAACATTTTACCAATATTAACCTCTACGGGTTCTATGATCCTACTACAGCCCAGGACTCAGCAACTAGGTGTGAGCGTTAAGCTCGGAACCTTTACGGAATGTCACTAGGATGAAGCTTTTGAGATTTAGTGTTCTAGGATGAAGCTTTTGAGATTTAGTGTTCGGGGTTGTTGTCTGGGGGCCAGGAAACCCAGCAACTGGGAGGGAGGCTTCTGGATTTGGTGTTGGGGGTGGTGTCTGACATTTCATTCGTAGCACACTGAAGCCTCTTCTGGGTTCGGTCTGTCGAGGATGTCACCGTTTTTGACATGGAGCTCAACTTACCCTTGAGCGCTTGTCTTTGATAGTAAGCTACCATACCCGAAGTCTACCCGGAGCCTTAGTTCGCAAACCGATCCCGTTTGTGGCGGCGACTTGATATGGGAGTTTCCGAAAATAGGGGACCCTAATACAGTACCCTAATAGTAGGATCCTTATTATAAGGACCCCAAAATGAGGTACCCCGGATTTTCGGAAACTCCCATATTGTCTCGGCAGATCCTTGACGCGGTAAGCCGCTTCCACGGCCTTTGAGTGATTCCTCAAGCCGAAGTCTTAGGCCTCAAACCTCCCGGCCCACCCTTTAAACGGAACCCGATTCTAATTATTAAGGCCCCTACATTATTATTACCCTTATAGATCCATTATAGTAACCCTTATAGACCCTTCCTTCACAAGAAAAATCCGCGGTGGACAGCGCAGGACACGATCGGACAGCAGACGCATGGATCCTCGCTTCAAGAGAACCAGGGACTGGTGGGCAAGAGGACCAGCAGGGGATTGGCTACGGGGTTTAAGATCTATAGGGCTTAGTGGATTTGGGCTGGAGGGTTTCGAGATTGATATTGACAGTAGAGCACTTGGATACTGAGGGTCGAGTTTTTGATCGGCTTGGAGGGTTTACTGGCGGTGCCACGAGCAGACTTGTAATGCCGAGGGTAACAGCAGCACTTAGAAGCTGAGCAGGGAAGGTGTGACCTCTATGGGCTTAGAGAATCCAGCGACTGTTTCAGTCATGCTGAAGATATCCGGGCTGAGGCACGCAGCAACTAGGCCCAAAATGCTCTGGGTGTAGCGGAGGTATTGCAGATTCCGTCAGCCAAGTCGACGATGTGCTGGTCGTCAGTCTGAGCATCGCAACGAAAGCAATGATGCAACTAGTTGCCTGCTCAGCCAAGGTAACCGGACTGTGACGGTGAAGGCGAATTGCACGGTGCCTTCAGGCAGGCAATCCCTGAAATCCAAGACCGACAGCTGAAACTGAAGGACCTCAACATCCTACAATTTCAACATGCAACGTTTAAGCCCTAAATCTTAGGTCTTTGGGTTTGTAACCGTCATCAATCATTTGCCCCATACCTCACTCCCAGTCTGGTTGCCCTGCCTGAGTTGCGCAAGGGACAGCATAGGGGAGGATCAGGATCAGGAGAAGGGCAAGGAGGAGTTGGAGACGCAGCGGTGGAAATATTAGTGTCACTCGTCGTCATCACCGCAGTCCGCGAGCCAGAGCTCTTACACGATCCCACTGCTGAGCCATGTCTCGTTGTGTGTTTTGTTTTGTTGTTTGTTTGTTTGTTTCGTTTATTCTCTCTCTCTCTCTCTCTCTCTCTGTCTCGCTCTCTGTCTATCTATCTCGCTACAGTTTATATGCATATGCATATATGTATATGTATATATATATATATATATATAAGTTTTTCTGCATACATATGTGTATATATGTAAATATAGGTGCAGATGTGTCCACGTATCTGCGTAAACACTCGCATCTGTTGTTCTATGTGTTTTATTCCAGGTTTGTGCTTTCATGTGGTTCAGAATTCGTTTTGTACTCAGTTATACCCCTACTCATTTGTCTGTTAGTCTGCTTATGCACATATTATGCATGCGGCCCGTTACAAATACAAATAGAACTAGATAGATACATAAACGCATATGTAGAAACACAAAACCTACAAACAGGTATGTATGCATACACACCTACATGCATACATACATACACATACATACATACATTAACACATACATATGCACGGACACATGCGCTTGCACATGCACAAAAGCAGACCGACGGACGGACAGACAGACAGACAGAGAGACGGAGAGACAGAGAGAGAGAGAGAGAGAGAGAGAGAGACAGAGAGAGAGAGAGAGAGAGAGAGAGAGAGAGAGAGAGAGAGAGAGCGAGCGAGCGAGCGAGCGAGAGAGAGAGAGAGAGAGAGACAGCGAGAGAGAGAGAGAGAGAGAGAGAGAGAGACAGAGAGAGAGTGAGAGAGGGGGGGGGGAGGAAAAGAGACGGGTTGGGGATGTGTTTAGAGCCTATAGGGTTTAGCATACCCACGACGTTCAAAAACCTTGATGCCCAATTCGCAGATCCACCCCACTGAGTCGCCGCAGGCATCGCAAATGCAGCCGACCCGCCATGCACCGAGGGATCAGGCAGCTTGGGGCAGACAGGCAGTGTTCAGGGTTGGGCTTAGGGTGTAGTGTTTGTGAATTACCTTAACCCGTAATAACCTACCTTTTTAAGGACTCATGGAAATCATAATAAGGAACCCTAAAAAGGTAGGATATCCAGGGTTAAGGTAGGGCTCCAGTTGTCTTGTTGAAGGTTCATGTTCACGAGCGATAAGGTTCAGCTCTTCCAGGGCTTGGGCATAGTCAGAGGAGATGTGGCGTGAATGGCGTACTATAAGTAAATCCTATAAGACCCTAAACCAGAAAAGCAAGCTCTCAAGGCCGAAACTCTGCGCTTTAAACCCTAGTTAAACTCTAAACCCTACCTATAGTCTCCATTGTAGTTCCTTTCTTTGGGTTACTTTATAGGACCCCTTATATATGATTGGTTAAACCAAAAAAAGAAACTACAATGGAGACTATAGGTAAACTCTAAACCTGCATGTCCCCGCCCATACCAGGGACTTTGAAGCTCAACCGGCTCTTTCTCCGCCGTTTGAAACACTACTTAGAGAGTCTCCAGGGCTCAGGGTTGAGTCCCAGGGTTGAGAGTTTGGGTTCAGGACCTGAGGTTGGTGCTGTTAGGGCTGCATCTTGAATTTTAAGGCTTCAAGCCCATAGAAACCCAACCCTAAACCCCAACTGCCGCCAATCCTGACACTTTCCAAACCCTAAAACGATATAAATCCTCTCGCCTGGTGTAGGGCTTAGTGTGATATGTTCCTTAAACCTGAAGCCCTATAGCTTAGGTGTGGAAGCTTAGTCGCAAAACCCTCCGGCCGAATTTTCCCGAATGCCCCTCTCAACCTCTCCTGAGTGTTGTTGGAGGCCCCTTCGAGCACGGCCAAACCTGCACGCCTGTCTGTGAGGTGCGAGGGTTCTGATGTTTACGCTTTAGGCTTTTAAAGTTTAGCGTTTGTGGCTTAGGGTTGGCGCTTCAAGTGCGGCATGTTGGGCTTGCCGGCAGAGGGCGTAAGAACTCCAACCCTCAAGCCGCTAGCCCTAAACTCAAAAGCTTCATAGTGTGAATCCCTATAAACCCTGAAAGCCCGTAACCGTAAACTTTGCAGCTTCAAAGCACGAACCCATGAACCCAGAACGTAGCATGAGTTGCCACGTTCTATTCCGGCTGTTCTTC